AGGGAGAGAACTGCATCATGGCACCAGGTATTGGGAGACAGCTAATTCCCCTGCACTCCCAGCACGGCTTGGCAACAAAGAAGTTCACAGCCCACCCACACCTGCTGCCAACAGCATCCCATGGGAACCAGCTATGTCCTTCAGCTTAGATGTCACGTGGATAGTGACCAACCAGCCCCCCAGAATGGAGGGTGCCAGGTGCTCCTCACCTTGTGGTGCTGCTTGACAATGTTGACCAGGTTGCGGTGGAACTCCCTCCTGCGCTCCAGCAAACGTGACGCCGACAGGTGTGGGCGACCATCCACCTTCTCCTCTGCAAGGAGGGACACCAGCATCACCCACAGCACCTGAGACAGGCCCAAACCTCAGGAAGGATAGGATCAGAACCCCACCAAGGGGCTGCACCACTGCCAGAGTCCTGCCCCCTCATCCTCTCTCTTGTCCCAAAAGCATTTCCCACTTCCAACACGCCCAAGCCTGAAGATGACAATCTAATGGGCCAAGCAGAGAGTGTCCCTGTGGGGATTCAAGAATCTCAGCCATGGAGTGTACCCCATGTCTTCGGTGCCCCAGAACTGTACATACCTTCACCCAGCACTGGCTCCAGCGTGAGCTGGTACTCAGACTTCTTCCCACTGCTGCTCAAGGTAGGGATGTTCTTCTCCTGGCGCAGCTGGTACGAAGAGGGGTAGACAGCTTTGATCTGCCCTACATGCCGCATCTCAAACTGCCTGCAACAGCATCCCAAGGGTCACACACAGAATCAACCAGGTTGGAAAAGACCTCTGAGATCATCAAGTCCAACCTATGACCTAACACCACAATGTCAATCAGACAATGGCACTAAGGGCCACATCCAGTCATTCCTTAACCACCTCCAGGGATGGTGACTCTACCACCTCCCTGGGCATCCCCGTCCAGCAGCCAGTCACCCTTTCTGTGAAAAAATTCTTCCTAATCTAGACATCAGCCTCAAGCCCAAAACAGGCTGCTGAGACCCCAAAATGGGCTACCCACCACTGCCAACGTACCTGCGCATCATGTCCTGCACCCCCTGCTTGACCTTGGCAAAGGTGATGGTCTCAGCGCGGTTGAAGAGCATCCCAACAATGGTGTCCACACTGCGGAACATCTCTTGCAGCACCTTGAACTTGTAGGGCAGAGTGAGCCCTGGGGCCAGGTCCTGGGCGAGGGTGTGGAACCGCTGGTATGCAGGAGGCTTCTCACTGCAGGAGGAAAGGGGTCAGGGCTCCTGCTGACTCAGTGTCCACCCCAGATGGTGGGAACCACCTCACGCTCCCATCCCAAACCCTTCTCTTGAGCAACCTGTAGCAGTATCAGAATCACCAGGGGTTGGAAAGGACCTTAAAGGTCATCCAGTCCCAGCCCCACCATGCCATTTGCAGGTACACTTCCCACTAGACCAGATTGCTCAAGGCTTTATTCAACCTGGCTTTGAACACTGCCAGGATTGGGGCATCTATTACCTCCCTGGGCAACCAAATCACTTCGGGACATGATGTTCCAATGCTTATGGTGGTGTCAGAGTGGCTTGGGCCATGCTCAGAGCCCTCAGACAGGGAGGGAAGACCTCCACAACACCACTGTGGGTCTGTGGCACCACTGGGAGACACCAACTCCCCTCAAATCACCCCCAAAGCTGCTCCTCACCTGCTCTCTGCCTCAGGAGCTGCCACTCCACTGTCCCTGGATGGTTGTGCTCCCGGTGTGGCTTCGCTTCCTGCTTTCCTCTGACGGATCCGGAGCTCCAGCTGCCGCACACGCTCCAGGCGGCTCCGCAGCACCGTGCTGGTCCCAGTGGGGACAGAT